CAACAGGACACTGCCGGTATTTATGTGTCCTCTTTTTCACAATATTGACGGGCATAAGGCTACGATTCTTACTTTGTGGTTTAACTTGGGTTATCTGAAGATTTATGCAAATGGGGTTGGAATGTGGACTGAAGCCTTTTACCGTAGTATTTCAAATGGATGCCCACCCAAACTATGTTTTAAGCACGGTCGGTGGCAAATTAAAAATGAGTAAGTTGCCCTACCTTCATTACGGCCTTCTGTTATTTATAACAGCAGAGTGCATGCACAGCCAATGCACAATGGAAGGCTATTTATTGTAAGGGGTACCCTTAAACTGAACCGTGCGATAGAATTGTATCAAGGTGACGCAACGCCAGTTGCACGTTTTGTAAGTCAGCTTTAGTAGCCTGCGTAAACTTTTTGCAATTGTTAAACTGCGTTTCATAGAGGCTACTGAAGGGAGAAATGATGGACGGTGGCCACCAAAAATTAAATATTTGTGCATCATTACATTTTTGAACAGATCTTTCCACTCGAAGGTCGTGTAGACAAGAGGCCTTCATGTGCAACCTCATTGAACGGCATTTTATGTCTTTTTCAACTGCCGCTTCTTGAAATATTTTTAAGTAAAGCATTTCACAACGGAGGAAGTAAAATCGCCCAACATATCTGCCTTTGGGTGCTTACAATATGTCGGCCTGCAAATAATCATAAATCATGCTGATTTGCTACGACACTTCTGCCCGTTTTATCCTTAGAAGTTAAATTCCGCACCTGCAACAACTCTCGCCGTGAGTATGTGTGCGGAGCATGCACAAACCTGCCTGCGTGCTTTTTGTGTTTAATGCTTGCTTGACAGAAGGGTCGAGATGCTGTAGTATATATTGGGCTTCTTTTGGTTTTGTTCCTGTTCTCACTTGAGGCTATAATCAAGAGATCTAAATATTTAGGGCAATAAATTCATTTGTGCTTTCGGCATCTGCTACAGAAGTAAAGGTACATGCTTGAAAATAACTTTTAGCCTGGTCTAAAATCGCTTTTGAGCGTGCCCACCGTATGCGTCTGCCCAAACAAATTTGTAAGGGGTTGCCAGATAAATCTTAATTAATTCCATCTTTACTTTACATTAGTAGTGCATTTCCAAAATGAGATGTTAACCAGTCCTAACCGAAGGTCACCCTATGAGAGGAAATCAAATTTTCCAAGGTGAAAGAGTAACTGTCATTGCATCCGCCACTTTATTCAGGGGGTGTGAGTGCATGCGTAGCTGTGTCTCCAGGCATAGCATACGGTAGTCGCACAAGCGATTATTACACGAGGCGAGCTTGAGCTGAGTAAGTTAGTTCATTGGCCTACAGGGCCACAACTGAGTCAGCACTAAACAAAAATATGGAAAGGTAACTACTCATACTGTGCTGCTGTTGCCATTTTTTGCAACTATGATGACGGTTTTGGTCAATTCCTGCCTTTTTATGCCTTTTTCAATTCCAGTCTTCGTAAAGTCGTAAAATAGGTGATAAATTTGTAGGGTGACTAGCCGGCAGCTAGACTAAGCTTTAACAAAGTCAAGGTGCGCAGGGTCTTGAATGCACTGTTTTGAGAACCACATACATTATTAAAATTACTGAGTGGATGCCGATGGGCAAAGAGGATCCTTCAAAACGTTTGCACAATTTGAATGTTGCAACGAATTTGACTGACTAATGAGATTTAGCGGAGTATGGAGGGGAATATTTTAATCTTTCTGGTTTCGTCTAAGACAGGTAGAGATGTCATATATTCTAATATTTTTATTCTCTCTCTAGTAAATATTGTAACATTTTGATGCATGTATAGTGTGGCTTGCTGCATTTACCTGGGCATTCACATTCTCTTACTTGAGACATGTTCATACCATTGTATCTGCATATAAATAACTTTATTGACATATTGAGAACACATTTTGTCTTTCTAGGAGGAGCAGCTCGTGTCTCTAGGAGACAGCAAGAACCTGCAGAAGGTGGTACGAGAGCTGGTGGGACGCCTGTTCTCAAAGCAAGTCCAGGAGCAGTTCTCTGGCCCTTCTGGGCTACCAAGGAAAGTCAAGGTTCAAGGACGCCATGATGTGTAAGGTGGTCATGGGTAATGCATATTCTTTACTAGCTATTAAATTGATGGTATCTCTATTGGAGCTCAATAGACAAGCACAATCTTTGAAATATGTTGACAGTTAAAGAGAAAATGAAACACTTTTTGACAAAAAAACGAGTTATAGGGGACTTCTGGCGTATTTTTGTCCTGTGAATTTGAATATCGCTTTCCTTTTCCCCGAAGGTGTAACTAGACGCGAGAAAACACGAAAAACCTCAGAGCAGTCGTGACGTCGTACTAGGATCTTTGGGGCGCCAAGCTTGTGTCGCTTGTGTGGGCGGCGCGTGCAATTGCAAGCTTGCCAGTTGTATTTTTCCACACTGATGCCAGTTGTGGCGTCTATTTCTGATCTTTTTACAAATACAAGAGTTCACGTGCATAGGTTTGACAGGAGCTGAAGATGAGCGAGAGCAGAAATTCCGAAAACTCTCAGCATGACGTCACGCCCCGGGAAGGAGGGGCTTCAGCTGTACTTTAGAAATTAATTTCTGCAGCCTCCGTGCACCAGATTGAAAAAATGAACTCGATATTCGTGATCCTGGATGCCATATCAAGACGATTTTGGTGTTCTTCCTCAAATACAGAACAGCTTCAGTTTCTTGTTAAGTCTTGCAATATGCAAAATTTAAGTCGTCAGTTCCTGTCGTTATTTTTTTTTTTTTAAATTTGATTTGCATTTTCTATTATGAATATCTCCTGTGTTACCATTCTCGGAACCTTCATACTGAAAAGCAGCGTCTTGAAGGAACTGTGAAAAAAGGTTTTTGTTGCTCTTGTCTTGTTATCCTGTTAGTTTCCAGGTTGAAAATCTAATGACGACCATTTAGAGGCCTTGGTCTGTAGAGTGTCAGTTGGGGAAGTTTTGCTCTTTTTTTAACCACTCATCTCTGCACCCCACCCCTTCTCGCCCCCCGCCCCGTCTCGCCCCCCATTTCAGATTAATAGGATGTTGCGTGAAATAGCCATATGCCTCCATAGAATCTGCACCTTAGCGTGGTAGCCAAACCCACAATCTCCACCTCTGTGGTGCTCTCTTTCTGTCACCTTTGAATTGCAGGCTAAGTGAGGGACCTATATTTACACAAAGTAAACGCTCACAAGCTGCAGTGTGTGAACAGCACCTTGTGTGTAGCTAATATGCAAGATATTGGCTTCCCCTATCCCTCAACTAATCTGTGTGATCTGACAATTCTCTTTACAGGTGCCATACAAAGTTGCACTCGTGCAGCGTGGACGTGGTGCAGAAGTGGCTGACGAGCAGGGAGGCGGGCAAGGGCAATTGAGTTAAAAAGACGGACACTCCACTGGTGGTTCCAACCGCCCTTGACGATGAGGGACACACTGGCTGAGGAGCTAGCTGCTATGGATGCACGAGTCACAATAAAGAATGTCACGGTAAAAAAAAAATTTGTATGTTCCCTTCTTGTACTACCAACAATATGCATCTGGGCGACAGATGAATGGGACATGTCGTCTCAACGAGTATACAATAATTGCCATGAGTATACTGTATACATGGAGAAAGTCAATTGTTCACACAGATTTGTTTCTTAAAATTGCACAAATACTAAACCGACTTTTTTCAGTTCAAGTCCGAAAAACATGTTAAAAACGGTCAGCACCTATAAAAGATATGAAAACCAATAAAATAGTTTGGACTGAGAAATTTAGCATTTCCACATTTAAGTCAATTTGATCTACTGAGAAGTTAGCTGTCCAAAAATGCAGTAAAATGTCATTCCTGGGCTTTAAAGCCTGACACAGCTAGATTCTGCTGGTTCTATGGTGGGTACACTGAATGACGCATACGCTGGTGCTGATCCGCAATTTCGCAGGCAATGACCCGCAATTACGCTGGCACTGATCTGTTTTTACGCTGGGACTAATCCGCAATTGGACTGGCTCTGACCCGGAAACACGCTGGCACACTGATGGTTTCCTACCGTACCACCGGTTCCATGCCGGGGATCTGTGTCGGGAGCTCGCTGGGAACTTCCCGTATTCCCGGCATCCCGGTTTCCCAATAAGTTCCCGGTACCGGCCGGATTCCGGCATTGGGCCCGGCCAATGTCGCCCCTTGGGGCGTTTCCGGTACTGGCCGGTATCGGTATCCCGGCAGGCCAATACCGCCCCATCCCCAACCCGGCATGTTGTGCTACTTGGGAATATCCCTACAAACTTTCGTTGCAGAAAAATCACTCAATAAACTAAATTTCGTTTTTATTTTCTGGTTTTATTGTAAAAAACTGATTTTTTTAAGACCTTGCATTCTTAAAGCACAGCCCGGTGTTTGAGCTCCCTTGGTTGCTTCATAGTGCCGCTTGTGTGGCGGTCTTGGCAACGCACGGGGTTGCCACGCGGACGTCCGGGCTTCAAAACCCGCTCGGCTTTCATTACTTTTTTATCCGTCGATGTTTCTTGGGGACGTTTCAGTCAATTCCCGGCTCCCATTGTGTCTTCTGGTTCTGAAAAATCCCGAAACATCCGGCGTGCATGACAGCAGCGGTTTCTCGCGCTTGGCTGAAGTCGCCCATTCGTTGCCGACGTAAGATCCATCGTAGCCTACTTCTGCTTGTTGGCGCAAATTCGCCTCATGAAAAGTTTATTTTAAGTTCTACATTTGTCAACCGTTTTTATTCGTGACAATTGCTAAACAAAATAACTCACATTGTCGATGCGACACGACATACACCGTTTAAAACCGGCAGCGAATCATGCATGGCAGCAATGAAAGACGGTTTTGAAGCGAGCGTTGGTACTAGACACGTTTATTTATTTTTGTATAAAGAAAGTTCTAATAACAAATTCGATGCGTTGCACACGTCTGCCCGATAGACAAACACAATAACACATGTAGCTCACTCGCTCCTCATAGCGCATTGACGTTTTTCAGGTGCTGTAGCGAAACATTGCCCCGCGAAAAGCTGTTTCGCTGCTGAGTATTCCTATTGATGCTAGGGGTCTGTCGGCACAGGCTAGCAGAATCGTAAATCGGATGACCGCGCTGTCCTTTGTTCGCACAGGACCTTCGTGCGACACGCCGTGTTGCATGGTGCCTTCAGGGGGTTCTGCTTAGTGTAGTACCTGCAACACGAGGGAGAGAAGGAGTTAAGACTTGAGTTCAGAATTGAAGGTCAATGCATGTCCAGTACGTATGGTCACGTGATCTCTGTTTTCACGCGACGACGCCCTGACGACGTGGAACAAAGGCGTCCCCATTGTGTACGAGAGATACGTGTCGCCGGTTTCTTCGCACCTAAACGTAGCATTGACATTTGTTTACATAATTTTTCTTGTGCCATCTTTGTGTCATGCTCTGGATTTTGGATTATGACTGTAGAGTTCGATCAATTTAATCATAAGCACACACTTCCAAGAGCTTTTCGGTGAGAAGGCGAGCGCGCTTCGGGTCGTTTCACCCTGTTTTGGACAAAATACTCGACAAAAGTATTTAAGTTAAGTTACTAAACACCTTCGTCATAAAGCATTTAAAATACTACTAGAGTTACTTTCACTGTAAAGTATCTTGAGTAGAGCACACATACTTAGAAATGTAATTCAGTTACTTTTGAAGATACTTCTCATTGCTTAATCTGTATCGACGTCATTGACAACGACAATTATACAGGTGCGCAAATCTGGTTTACCGGAAGGGTTTATTAGCACGCAACAACACAAAACGAAAAAAAAGCATCCTGCGCTTATTTTATGCAGTCATATGGTAAGGAGCAGGATATTGCCACGCATAAAAATTATGAGGCGGCGAATAATTAAAGAAACTAAACGTTTAATGGGGCGAACTTGTGCCCAAAACAAAATAGAGGAAGACTAGCGTCACAGACGTCAATGTCAGCGAAACAGGAGAATTGAGCGCTGGGACGAGACCACGGTGGGCTGACTCTGGACCGCCACACGGAGCACCTTTTGCACCCGCGTGGATTTCTGGAACATGTGGCGTAGAACGTTCGGCGCGTAGAACATTCGTAACTCGATCAGACAACAAAGTTTTCAACTTGCAAGAAGGGGGGATCGGTGGCCGAGTGGTCTAGCGCACACCAGCTCGGAGCACGTGGAGCGAAAGCTCGCGCTGCAGAACCCAGGAGCCTGGGTCCAATCCCCGCAACCCCCCCTTTTCGATCTGGATGAGCATTGTACCGGCGTGCGGTCGTGTATCACAACTGCGTGGTGCACGTTAAAGACCCCAGGCTAGCGGTTGTACCGCATTGGCTAAATTTCTCATCTACAGCTGGGAGACTCGTCGCCCCTGTGAGGCAGACCAAGTTCTAGGCTGTATAAACACACCCACAACCCAATTTTTCAACTTGCGAGAATGTCATGTTGAAAGAATAAATAAAAAAAAATAAAAAATTACCGCATCTCCACGTGGTGAATGATGTTGATTGGGGCGAAGCTCGGGTGGTGCTGATGATACTGATTTTGGTCATAGGTAGTGCTGTTGGTGCCGTTTTCATTCATGTCAGTAAAAGAATGTGTGGTTTCCTTCTTTTTCTTTTTTTTAAGAAAACAGATGGGACGGCAACTCAGAAGCCCTACTCTCTTTTTTCTTCTTTTTCATGATACTGAATTTGGTCATAGGCAGTGCTGATGGTGCCGTTTTCATTCATGCCAGTAGAAGAATGTGTGGTTTTCTTCTTTTTCTTTTTGTAAGAAGACAGATGGTATGGCAACTCAGAACCACCTACTTTTTTTTTTCTTCTTTTTCTTGATACTGATTTTGGTCATAGGTAATGCTGATGGTGCCGTTTTCGGCACATTGATACTTTAGACCCATGTTGTTGTAAAAAAAACTATCTCCAAACTCTGGTCTAAAAACATGCTTTTCGTGCAAGGCTCGTCAAATTATGAGGCGCTGGAGAAATGCAGCCTTCTGCGTTAAGTCCTTATTTCGAACTCTTTTTGTTCGCCTTCCGCCCATTGAAAAGCATGCGGGAAGGGCCTTAGAACGCACCTGGTATCGCTACGCCGCAGCGTTCTTCCGCACATAGAGTTATTATAATGTACGCTAGAGGTTCAAGTGGCGCTAGTGTGCTGCTGCAAATTGAAGCAGACAGCAACCAGTCGGAAATTGACTTCCGGTAATGCATTTCTATGGGAAAAAGCGAGTACATTTTCTCTCCGCGCTCGAATATAAGAGGAAATATCACGAATAATTAGTACATACTAGGAAGCTTGGAACATTTCTCAGTCAGGCCGACGAAATAATTCGTCAGTTACGGCGTTTTTCTTTCAAATTCATCGGATTCAAAACGGTGCTAAAACGGCTTCGTACGTGTATTTATGTGCACTGTCGGACACTGTTAGCGCGAACACGGCATCGGCGCTTTCCACCATGGGGATATACGTGTCAAGCGAACGAAGCACATGTGGAAAACCAAGAGAGACGGCAAGAACTACGCAGTAACAATGAATAAGTAACACCTTGTGCATGCAGGCGATCAAAATAAATTGAAAGCCACCTAATATAGTCCGATTTGCAATAAATAAGAACTGCTTTATTCTTTCTGCTCAGGAATATGTGCGAAGATGCATGTTCTGGGTTCAAATCATCAACCGCACGCTCCAAATCTTTGCAAATAGGAAAAAGTCAGAGAACAGGGGCCCGATAAGAACTGCCCGACATAGGAAATAATAAACAGGCACACCTTTCGTAGTCCACGTACTTTATTTCTTACATTCGAATGTTTTTTAACCGTCGTAAAGATGCACGACGGAGTCATTTTCATATAGTGACAGGACGGGCATATTAGCAATATATAAGCGCCACCGCAATGCTAGCGAACCTTGAACACACTCTACATTCTTTTCGATCGTGAGTTTGCTTAGAATCGTCGCTTGTTTTTACATACCTGCCATGGAACATAGGTTTGGGCCTGAAATATAGCGAAGCTTAACATCGTTCAGTGGTAAAGAAAAATGCTGTAATTAAAGCAATTACACTTTTACAATATTAATAAGTGTACATACTATCCGGTACAACCGAAATAATAAAAGCCATTCGTGTTATTTTCCGGCGAAGAGGCAAATTTCATGCGCGTTTTCCCATAGGAATGCACAGGAGCACCGCAAAAGTAGACTGGTTGCTGTCTGCTTCAATTCGCCTCCCGGAAGTCGCATAGACACTAGCGCCAGTTGAACCTCTAGCGTACATTATAATAACTCTATGCTTCCGCATCAAAAAGTTCGTCTGCTTTCCTCGCCGTCACCTTGGCAACGAACGCCGAATGAATAGAAGCACGCACGGTACCGCCGCGTGAAGCCAGCAACAGCTGACGCCATTTTACCAACGCCGTCTGCTAGCCAAAGCCGAACGCGGTGTGTCAGATCAACCGCCTCCGCCGGTGCGCCGCTAGCAAAGACGACGAAGCTGAGGCACGCCGACGGCGATCGAGCAAGCAACAACACCGCGGGACGACTGCAACGGCGGCATTTATTCGGATCAAAGGCCGGCTTCGCCGGTGCGCCGCTAGCAAAGACGACGAAGCTGAGGCACGCCGACGGCGAATGGGCGAGCAACAGCACCGCGGGACGACTGCAACTGCGGCATTTATTCGGATCAAAGGCGCGAAATAAGCAAGAACAATTTTTATTTGAATCATAACACCCGATATCCAAGTTGGGGACCACATACGTTTGCAGGGTCTTTCCTGTGAACTTTTTACAGAGACACGGGGTGCCGCATTTAAAACACGGCTCCGTTTGCAAAATATGGGGGCCCTGAGAAGGGCCTTTTAGACCGCTACCAGAACCTATAACTGACATAACGAGCACTTGACGAGCGGTTGGCGCATAAGTCGTCTTTATGCACGCAGGCGGGCGACGGGCTCAGCGCAGCGGATCACTCGAAGTCACCGGGGCCGTCAGAATCCTCGTCCTCCGCACTATAGGGAAGATTCCTGTCTGCGTCGGGGCTATAGATTTTGGCGGCCGCGGCGACGAACGACTGGAATCTGTCAGTGTTTCCGCGCGCCTTCTCTCTCCTCCAAAACATGAACTTTGCAAGGTGACCAGTGAAATGGTCGCTCTCGCGCCGTCCAGATGGAAGAGAGTTTTTGACGTGGGCCCAGGTGCCCTCCACCGTATTGGTGTGCGCACCAGTGTTCGGGTCGACAAAGTGCAGCTTGTGGTTAACGGTGAGGTGCGTGAAGCGAGCGTCATCTGCAAGCTTGCGATAGCCAGCCCAACAATCTGTGATTATTCTTGTTCCAGGGCGGACCCACTTGGCTATTAGCCCTAGCAGGGTATTAGCGTCACGGGTCTCCACGGGAACAAGAAAGCAGCACCCGCTGCCACGCTCCACACCGTCGAAAACCCACTGGCCAGGCCTTAAATACCCGCGATGGTACTTTCGCCGCCCGAACATACTCTCGTCTAGTTCTACAGTCACGCCTTCGCCGCCAATCATCTCTGAATGCGTAAAGACGGCATTTACCACAACCTCCCGACAAAGGCTCGTCCAATCAGTTATTGTCTTACTTGCGACATCAGTCTCCCGCTGAATGACGGCGCACGGTAGGTTCTGGCACCAGAGGTAGATGATCTTCATGAGTTGGGGAAGCGTCAGGTGCGATCCCTCCAAAAAGGAACCGCTCCGTACCGAGACCTCGCCCCGGCACTGAACCTTGACCGGCTTCCTCTTGGGCACCTCACGAGTCATCCACAAACCGCATCTCCACGAATACCCATCCGCAGATCTAGCGCGGACTTGCAGCGTCATCGCAGCTTCGCACTCTGGGCAAGCACGAGAAGCCAGGAGCAGGCCCATGCCCTGAATCAAATTAATTGCTTCAAGAGGGTCTTTCATGGCGTCATGAAGACGGCACAAGTTAAACGCCATGGCACTGCGACGCTCGCCTCTGGAAGAATAAAGCGCCAAGGGGGCTAAACGAGCAGAAATGCGCGCTTCTTTGCATTTATTATTTTTATTTGATCCGCCATTTTATACCTCGTGACACCCTTCTAACGAACTGATTGGCTAATCGGTCGGGCCATGTCATCGCGTGACAAAAGAAACGCCAATCGTATGACCAGAACGGTTGCCACGGTCGGCATCGTTACAAAGAAGAGAA